GACTTTGTTAAGGGGCCCTTGCCTGGTTACAGGTTGTGCTTATCCTGTGGTTTGGGGGCAGGTGTTCCCAACTACTGAAGAAGTGATAGCTTACGTTTTTAGTGGTCTGTTCTGTATGAGGGAGCCCAGGCAGGGTGTTCTCCGCATCTAGAGGACACTATGGGGCCCCACAGTAAAGGGTAATGCTAGACCACTTTACTTGGCAAACAAATCACCTTCTAGAGGAAACACTGATTCTTAATCAGCGACTCCCACGTGGGAAGGTCTAGTGTGGGTTTGAATCTCTGTTCTGTGCGAGGTTGTGTGTATGAGTGAAGGCCCCAGAGTGAAAGCCCCAGAAGTAGTTCTGCTGAATTCACAACTCTGCTAAGCTGTTCTCTGCTCACCTACCTCAGGTTTCTCAGTCTGCAGGTTAACAGTCTATCAGACCAGCTTAGACTGCCAGACTTGTACTTTTCAAGAAACTGAACGACAAGACTGTGATCTTCAGGTAGAGAACAAAGAATCCTATTCTGCAATTCTTTCCTCCAGCTCATGGTGTTCTGTATTGATGTTGGTGTCAGAGGCAGCCTATGGTGATTTAGAACTCACAGTCTTCCTGCCTCAACCACCAGAGTGCTGGGATTATGTGTTTAGCACTCCTGACTGGAGGCAGAGGCAGTGGATCTCAGTCAGTTCAAGGGCAGCCAGGGTTACAGACCCCACCCAGTTCTCTCCCTCTAATATCATTTTTTTTTGTTTTGTTTTGTTTTTCAAGACCGGGTTTCTCTGTAGCTTTGAAGCCTGTCCAGGAATTTGCTCTATAGACTATGCTGGCCTTGAACTCACAGAGATCCACCCACCTCTCCCTTGCAAGTGCTGGGATTAAAGGCTCAGTACCACCATCTTAATTTGACCACCCCCTATGCTGTTATGAAGACACCCAGCCCCAATCCCTTTCTTTGCTTCCCCAGACCTGATGATCTTTATTCTTAATGGGCACCATATTTCCCAAAACAGATCCCATAGAGTTCATAGTTTCTTCCCATGGACAAAGGAGAGAGGAGACAGGAACCATAAAGTAGGATTTGAGGAACCTCAGATGCCAATACTGATCAGAGAAAGAATTACACTGCACAAAATCAGGTCATTAGAGCTGTGGTGGAATGGAACTAGAGGAGCAGATGTCCTGGCAGTAGGGAAAGCACCCTGTACAGAGTGGGAGGGGCTTAACATCTGGATGAGTCTCTGGGAAAAGGATCATAGGCAGGAGCTTCACCCTAGCATGATGACAGGGAACAGACTGGAAGAGACACACCCTGTCTCCTTCATCCTGAATTTCATGCCGTGGAAGGAAGACACAGTATGCTACCTAATAAGAATGCCTTCCTCTTGCTCTGGGCAGATGCAGGAGCATTCCATTTGGAGAGTAAAGGACACTCAAAAATGCATGGCGTTGAAGCAGATGAGACTTGACTCAAATCAAACTCCTCTGTTCACTAACTGTGGGATTGGACATCTGTTAACTGCATAGATGCCAAATTCTTTGATTCAGCATATAAAAATGCTATCAAACCCACAATACTGTTGGGAACTCTATTGTTAGCATAGCAGTCCATGACATAGCGATCAGAAAGGAAATGCCTGCCGAAGCAGCTTATCCCTTCCCTTCCCTCACCGAGATCTCCAGAGATCCACAGTTGCCCTCATAGACCTCCTTTATGCCCTGCAGGGACAGAGCCAGGTGGAAGCAGAAGATGGAGCTGAATTCTGCACTCCTCAGCCTCAATCAGACAGTTTCTGGGCCCGGGCCCTTTATCCTGCTGGGTGTGCCAGGACTGGAGGGCCTGCATGCCTGGATTTCTGTGCCCGTGTGCCTGCTGTACCTGGCATCTTTGGTAGGGAATACACTTCTCCTGGGGCTGGTGGCAGCTGACAAAACCCTCCAGGCTCCCATGTACCAGCTTCTGGGGCTTCTGGCAGCCGCTGACTTGATTCTGGCCACCTCCACAGTGCCTAAGGCTCTAGCTGTGCTCTGGGGCTTGTCAGATGAAATCTCCTTTGCGGGCTGTTTAGCTCAGCTCTTTGTTGCTCATGTGGCCTTCATTGCTGAGTCCTCAGTGCTGCTGGCCATGGCAGTGGACCGCTATGTGGCCATCTGCCAGCCTCTACGCTATGGGGCTCTGCTGAGCCAGCGTGCGGTGGCTATGGTGGCTGCGGCAGCTGTGACGCGTGGTGCCTGTGTCATGGCACCCCCTCTGGTCCTTCTGCAGAGACTGCCTTACTGTGGGCATCGGGCCTTGCCTCACACATACTGTGAGCACATGGGTGTGGCTCGTCTCGCATGTGGCGACATACGTCCCAACATCTGGTATGGGCTGGCTACCACACTGCTCTCTCCTGCCCTGGACCTAGGGCTCATAGGTGCTTCCTATGCCCTTATACTCCGTGCCGTCTGTCGCCTGCCATCCCCCGGTGCCCGCTACAAGACCTTGGGTACATGTGGGGCCCACGCTGGTGTCATTGTTCTCTTCTACACACCTGCTCTATTTTCCTTCCTGGCTCACCGTTTTGGCCACTGCACAGTTCCCGGCCACATCCACATTTTATTGGCTAATCTCTACGTAGTAGTTCCTCCAGCACTTAATCCTGTGGTCTATGGAGTGCGCACAAAGCAGATCACTCAGAGACTTAGGCATTTGTTTCAAAGAGTGAGAAAGGTGGGCACCGACATGCCAGCCGTGCCACACACTGTATCTGTGTGAACCCAAATGTTGACATCATCAGCCATTAGGTGGGGCCATGACCTTACTATCTATTCCAGACATGTAGGCGGGCAGAGTACACCAAACTGACCTCTCCCGACCCAGCTTCACCAGCACAGTCACCACCTTACAGTTCTGTTTTGACTTCCAGTGACAAATTACTAAAGTACAGAAGAGCTTGGGTCCTCCAGTGGCCCACAAGGAGGCCCAGGACACATCTGCAAGACTATGGTCTTTCTCCATCATTCTACACACACACACAGATTGTTCTAATGTGGCTCAGTGTGGGTTCTTTGTAAGGCATCTGGTACTAAGCAAGAATTCCATATCTGCTGAAGGGATGAAGACAGCAGGACCTGGAGAAATAGTATAGTATAGTATAGTATAGTATAGTATAGTATAAAGTAGTGTAGTATAGTACAGTATAGAATAGTGTAGTATAGTATTGTGTAGAACAGTGTAGTATAGTATACTATACTATAGTATAGTGTAGTGTAGTGTAGTATAGTATAGTGTATTGTAGTGTGGTGTAGTATAGAATTATATATTATAGTATAATACAGAATAGATACTATAAAGTGCAGAGCTTTGGAAACTCGGCTTTGATCTGGGTGGTTCATACCTTGATCTCTACAGAGCTGCTGTACTGCAACTTCATCCCCTAGAGGTTTCCTACTTCGGATGAAAGTCTGAGGGAGTTCCTGATTTTTTACCCTGAGTCATTCACTAGATATAGTTGCTATGATGCGGGAAAAGGCTACAGCTCACTCTGTTGTGCTCCTCGATCTGGCTATTCTCCTACTCAGCCTTCCTTCCATCTGTTCTCCCATAAAACACAGAGCTAGTGACACCCATTTGAACCCTGATTCCAGATGCTTTCATATCATGTGCACATTTGGTTTTCAAATGAACTCCCAAGATAACCAGAGGTTGTCTTGTCAACCTCTGTGATTCCTGGATGAAAATACAGGACTTGATGGAGAATGTATTTTATGTATATTTGGTTTGAGTATGGAGCCAGACAGTGACAATCTGTCAACCAAGATAAAATATAACCTTACTGAGATTTTCCTATATTGGAAAGTAATGCAATTCCCCAGAATTCTATGTACCACAGCTCTTGAAGTCTTTCTAGAATAGGAAGTGGGAGATTTCGTGTGCCTTGTTAAAACAGGTGTACAGCACAGGCAGGCTCTCAAAGGATGAGTGAGTAGTCGCCGGCATTGGTACTAAGTGACCGTGTGTCTGGATGTAGGGTACTGTGAGAAGTAGGGAAGCTACAGTACACATAACCAGTAGCTGTAGAGTCCAACCTTCTCAACAGGAGTGGAATGATAAGCCCTTCATGGTAACCTTTCTGGGAAATGCTGCGTGTCCTAGGCACATGGCTAAACGGGAGTCCACATTTAGTGAGAAATAGGTACTCCACTAAAATGGCTGAGGACAAAGGGAGGGCGGGAGAGATTTTGGATAGCCAAAAGAGAGAGCCCTGAGCTGTGATTTCTTGCCCAGGTCTTAGGAAGCACACTTGTCCTTCTCCATAGGAATATCTGCTTGAGTGGTCTGAGAACTTGAGGCTTGATAGCCTCCTGCTGCTGGGGGGGTGGAGGCTTCTTAGCGCACAGACAGCAGAGGCTGGGGGCATTTGGAGTAGGGAGATTAGGAGAGCATTTGGAGGGGAAGTAGTGGAAATGTTTAGAGCACCCAGGAGAGTGGAGGAGGCAGCTTGCTAAAGATGGGGGAAGGTTTGTAACAGGGCAAAATAGTGCAGTGTTGTTTGCATTTCCCCCCAGGGGCACACTTTGGCCTCTTTCCAAGGGACATGATTAAGTGGTTAAGTAAATAGCATCTGTCCTTAGATTGAACAGCTTAGGTTGCATTTCCTTCTAGAGTCTTCCTCCCTGAAAGTTGAGGAAAAGACCCTAATCCCCTTTGAAAGGGACCCATCCCAAGGTCCTCCAGATTTCTCAGGTTTGCTTTAATCTATTTGTGTAGGAGGGCCTGGCAGACCAGGAATAGATCTCTGTTTGGGGTGGATGAGGGCAATGCTGTTATCATAGAGGAAATACACTTGCACCTATGTTTGAAGTTGCCAGTTTTTTATGATTCCCTTTCCCACCCTTCAAGACCCTACACATAGCTTAGCTTTTTGGATGTTGAAATCTTTGTCCCCTCCTACTGAGACTATTCATTGGCAATGGAGATAAAAGCTCAGGGTAGTCTTGGGACTTAGCCCATACCTACAGCTGGACCAAGATGCAGTCTGACCTAGCTCTTTTGGCCTCTTTTCTGCTGCTCCTGGCTCTTCCAGGACAGCCTCAGGTACTGGCAAAGGGTGAAGGTATCATGTAGGAGAGATACTTCTATGTTTGGGGCTGGCCGCTTTTTCCGTTCTCATTTTGTTCAAAAATTCCTAGGTCTGTGGCAAGAGTGAAGATAGAGAAAACTGGAGGAGAGATGATGATAGATGTGATGCCATTTTGTTGCTTGGATAACCCTTGGATAGTATGGGCATATGATGAGAAGAAACAGAGACAGACAGACAGACAGACAGACAAACAAACAAACAAACAGAGAGGGAGAGCGACAGTGACAGAGACAGAGAGAACGAACTGTTTATCCTGATGTTACAAGTCCTTGTTTTTTACTACCACATGCATACTTTTCCTGTGATAACAATGCTGGTTATAAGGATGGAATGGTCATCCCAGGGCATTATAGATTAAGTGGCCTTATTAGGCTGAAGACATAGCCAGAGTAAACTATGTGTATCAGAGCTCAAAAACATACGGGAGAGAATAAAGCTTCTCAGAGAAGTACAGGGACCATATATAAACCCGAGTTGGTACCATAGGCATAGTCTAAAATTTAGAAGTAATTTCTAATATAGGGCTAGCTATTCAGCTTCAAAACAAAATGGAGAAATAATTAATGAACTATAGTACTATATCTAAGTGACCCTAAGTAGGCAGGCACTATCTCAAGTGCTTCTCTACCTGTCTATCTTATCTATCTGTCTGTCTTTCTGTCCATCTACTTACAAACCTTGAAGTAAAACAATAGGGAAAATGCCACAATTTCTATTATTACCCATGTGAAGGTACTGGGACACAGAGAGATTACATATGCATATGAGGGGAATAAAAAAATATAGCTCTAGAATCAGTGGATTTGAACTGGCTGTGAGCAAGTCATGTTATGCAACGGTAAGAAAAATTCAACTTATGTGTCTCTTAGCCTTAAAGCTGCCACACTCTTGCTCTGGTTCACTGAGACAAGGGTGCTTCTTCTTGCCTTCACCTTCAGGCTTATGCTGACCCATTCCATCATCGTTTAGAGCTGTGTAGATGCCTTTGACATAAAAGCACAAGATTTGGAATAAATGCCAAACTTTGGAGAAGTTCCCAGCCTTGTTAATTATTAGTTACATGATTTTAATCTCAGACCATTGTGTTTTCCAACTACAATTTCTGGATCCCCAGTCACCTCATGCTATGTTCTTGTGTGTGTTAGCTCTGGATCTAGATGCTTCTCTTGATGATTATGAACTCTGTCTACATGCTTCCTTAGAAGAGCCAGATGATGTAGAGATCTGCCAAATTCCAACACTGGGGTTCCTGTTGACAACTGAAGTTTCTTAAGCCTGCCTCAGTGTTTTTCTGAAAGACAGATAAAGAAATCACGTGAAATGTAGCTGTCTGCACTTATAGTAGTGATATTTCCTTTGTATTTTAATAATAAAACTTGTCTGAAGGCCAGAGAGTAGATCAGTCCCACTGGTCAGCCTTACAGCCCAGGCAGGCCTTGAACTCACAGAGGTCCTGAGTGCTGGGATTAAAGGCCCTTGACCCCACTGCCTGTCAGGAGTTCAAGGCCAGTCTGGCCTGTAAGACTGACCAGTGCACCTGTTTTACTCTCTGATTTTCAGGCAAGCTTTATATATCAAAATGCAAATGAAATATCACTATGTGTACTCAGTACATGATTCAGGGTGAGAGTGACTGGTCAACAAATCTAAGTTAGGAGGGGCCTGAAGCTTCATTGCTGGAAGTTAAAGTAACTCAAACTCCCAACAGAGGAATCCCTCAGCAGCCAGTAAGATTCAAAGTGTTCCCCACCACTCCAGAGCAGGGCTGGCCTCTCCTCCTGCCTCGCTTTTGCAAATAGCCTATATTGATCCAGTGTGCTTCTTGCCCTCAGTGTGACTTTGATCCTGATTTTGCAGTTGGTGGGAAGTGCATTAAATTTCACAGATTTCCAGTGTGTGGTTCATCTGCCCGACAACTCGATATTCCTGCAGCAGCTGGAACAGCTACAGAATACACTACAGGATCTCATTGGCAAGTACGAACAACAGCTGTCCAGGGTGAGTGAGTGCTGGAGTTGGGGTCCTTGCAAGACCATCCTTTACCGGCTTCAGTTTAGCAACGACTCCATGGCAATGATTCCCTGTCTTTGAGATCAAACCTAAGGGAGAAAGGGAAATTTGGTACTATTCTTAAGGTCTCCCATAGTAAAGCATGGCTTATGATGTTTTTAGGAGCTTCTTACACTGATAGATAAAAAAGTGGTTTTAGATCCATTGAAAAACAAGACGTGGGAAGCACAGACATGCATATAATCAAAGGGTTGAACACAGGATGATCAATGTGGAGGGGCAGAGAACAGATTTGTGATAATGAACTGAAATAGAGGTGCCATGTGAAGGGTTGGTTGGGAAAGCTTGGCACTGAGCCTATAAGAAGGGCAAGGGAGTAGAAATACTATATCTGCAATCCAGTGTTGCTAATGGTCTAGCAAACCTTACTTGATGAACTCCCTGGAGAGATTCATGATCTGTGGCCAGACTGGAAGCTGGTATTGTTTATCTTGTGCTAGTCTTAAGGAGAGGGTGGCCCTAAAGGTTCTATGAATAGTATGGGCAGTATTCTTCCCTTCAGAAAAACAGGGACCTGAATGTCCTCAGGTAAGAAGTGGGGGATATTACTACTGTTAAATAAAGTGATAGACATAATGAGGGTGTAAATGGATGAGAAGAGTCACGCTCCTTGACATTGGGGGAACAATATACCTGTCCTTTCATGCCCAGGCCAAGGAGTATGCACCTACCCCTGAAGACCAAGACAGTCAGACTTTGGAACCGAGTCACACGCTGGAGTCCAGGAATCCTGGTGTCACTGGGTCCCAATATGACAACCCAGCCTTCAACCTGCTACGCCTAGAACTGGAAGGTGCACACGAGTTGGCAGCCCAGCTTCAGGCCAGAGCCAGTGTCAGCGGGGCCCCGGAGCTCCTCCACCAACTCCGGAACCAGGTGTGTGGATGGGTTAAAGTGCTCCTCTTCTCCGCTTCCTCTCACAGACTTCCTCCTTACCTGGTTAGCTATCATAGACACTTCCCCAAACCTCTTCTTTCTGGAGAAGACACCTGACCTAGAAAATGGAGAGTGTGAGTTGAGATTGAGGACACCCTGTGACCCACATTGCTGGGATCTCATTCCCTCAGGTCACCAATGCCAGTCTGAGTCTGAAGCTTCTGGCTGATGCTGACTTTCAAAGCTTTCGTGCTCTCCAAGAGGAGGTGGACGTCCTTGAGGGTCGACTAAGTGAGTGTGAGAGGGAGAAGGAACAGGAACAGCCTTCCAGATACCCTGGTCCACCCCTGGCTCCGGGTGAGTTCACAGACTGAATTTCCCAAGATTTTGTTTCTCCATTGACTGGGCCAAATGCATGATTGCTATAATAGCCTGAGGGACGAATGGGAGGCCAGTAAAGATCTTGATAAGGAATAAGTCTTCAGTTTCCTGATTATACCAAGACTGGTATCTTCTCATGGACATATCCATATAATCAACCATTTATCCATCTAATAGCCAGGCACATACATTCATCTCTATCCATGCAAGATCAGTCTATTTATATGATTATGCATGCAGTCTCATGAGCATGTTCTCAAGAACCCAGGTCCTGATATTCTCCATCCTCTGCATTCTGTGGGTTCTATGCTTTGTAGCTCGCTCATAACTCGCTTGCTCTTCTCTGTAGGTTCCTGTGCTCATGGAGGCCTACAGAAAGTGAGCAGACCCATTGTGCTGAAGCTCAACTGGAGGGGTTTATCTTACAAAGTAGGTGCCTGGGGCCGTGACTCAGCACCCAACCCAGTTTCTGCCCTTTACTGGGTGTCTCCCCTGCGTGCTGATGGCAGGTGAGTCCTGGATGACAAACTTTATGTGCCTGGGTCCATCCCATATGTACTTTAGCCTGGCCTGACAGGCTTCTTAGCAGCCTTAGCACTGATTCTTTTTTGAAAAAATTTTGTTCATTTTACATAACAGCCACAGTTCTTTCCCTTCCCCAACACATCCTATCCACTCCAAAAAGAGAGCCCATGGAGAGTCAACAAAGCCCTGCATATTAATTTGAGGCAGGACTAAGCCCCTCCCCACTGCATCAGTACTGACCAATGTAACCCACCATAGGGAATGGGCGGCAAAAGCCAGTTAATGCATTAGGGATAAATTCTGATCTTACTACCAGGGGACACATAAACAGACCAAGCCACACAACTGTCACCCACATTCAGAGGGCCTAGTTGGTCCCATGCAGATTCCCCAGCTGTCAGTTCATACTCCATGATCTCCCACTAGCTCGGGTCAGCTGTCTCTGTGGTTTTTCCCATCATGATCTTGACCCCTTCGCTGATATTATCCGTTCTTCTTCTCTTTGACTGGACTCCAGGAGCTAGGCCTAGGGCTTAGCCATGGATCTCTGCAATCTTTTAATCAGTTTCTAGATGAAGGTTCAATGATGATACTTAGGGTAGTTATCAATCTGATTATCGGGGAAGGGCAGTTTAGGCCTCTGTACTTGTGAAAGGAGTCTTTCTTTTAATTATTCATTTTTAATTGATTTTTTTGAGGTTTACATTTTTTCTGCTCCCTTCCTTGCCTCTCCCCTCCCCTTCACTCATCCTCCAAGGTGTCCAAGCTCCTCAAATTATTCAGGAGATCTTGTCTTTTTCTACTTCCCATGTAGATTAGATCCATGTATGTCTCTCTTAGGGTCCTCATTGTTATCTAGATTTTCTGGGATCATGATTTATAGGCTGGTTTTCTTTGTTTTATGTTTAAAAACCACCTATGACTGAGTACATATGATAATTGTCTTTCTGGGTCTGGGTTACCTCACTCAAAATGGTGTTTTCTAGATCCATCCATTTACCTGCAAAATTCAAGAGGTTGTTATTTTATTCTGCTGTGTAATACTCCATTGTGTAAATGTACCACATTTTCCTTATCCATTCTTTGGTCCAGGGGCATTGAGGTTGTTTCCAGGTTCTGGCTATGACAAACAATGCTCCTATGAACACAGTTGAGCATATGTCCTTGTGGTATGATTGAGCAGCCTTTGGATATATACCCAAAAGTGATATTGCTGGGTGCTGAAGAAGGTTGTTTCCTAATTTTCTGAGAAATCACCACACTGATATCCAAAGGGGCTGTACCAGTTTACACTCCCACCAGCAATGAAAGAGTGTTCCCTTTACCCCACAACCTTTCCAGCATAAGTTGTCTTCAGTGTTTTTGATTTTGGCCATTCTTACAGGTATAAGATGGAATCTCAGAATTGTTTTGGTTTACATTTTTCTGATGGTTAAGGATGCTGAGCATTTGCTTAAATGTCTTTTAGATTCTTCTGTTGAGGATTCTGTTTAGATCTATACTCCAGGTTTTATTGGATTGTTTGTTTTGCTTGTCAATTTCTTTGCAAGGAGTCTTAACTGGGGTCATCTTTGTGAACTTCTGGGAATTTCCCTAGCAATAGTTTTCTCCCTAACCCCTTAATGGCTCCCTCTATCAAGAGTTCTCTTTTGTTGTTCTCCTTCTCTGTCTCTCCCAACTTGACCATCCTGTTCCCTTTTGTTCTCAATCCCCACACCTTCCCCTTCCCTCCAGGTTATGCAGGAGATCTTACCTATTTCCACTTACTAAGAAATGAGTAATACTCCATTGTATAAATGTATCACATTTTCTTTATCCATTTTTTCAGTTGAGGGGCATCTAGGTTGTTTCCAGGTTCTGGCTATTATGAATAATGCTGCTATGAACATATTGGAGAAAGTGTTATTGGGATATGATTGAGCATCCTTTAGGTATATGATCAAGAGTGATATTGCTGTGTCTTGAGGTAGGTTGATTCACAATTTTCTGAAAAACTACCACACTGATTTCCTAAGTGACTGAACGAGTTTGAACTCCCACCTGCAGTGAAGGAGTGTTCCCCTTACTCCACATCCTCTCCAACTTAAGCTGCCATCAGTGTTTTTTTTATCTAAGTCATTCGGACAGGTGTAACATGGTATGTCAGAGTCATTTTGATGAGCATTACCCTAATGATTAAGGATGTTGAGCAATTCCTTCAACTTCTTTTGGCCACTTGAGGTTCTTCCATTGATAATTCTCTGTTTAGTTCTGTGCCCCATTTTTAAGTTGGGTTATTTGGTATTTTGATGTCTAGTTTCTCTAGTTTCTTGAGTTCTTAATATATTTAGAGTTCAATCCACTGTCAGATACGGGTTTGGTGAAAATCCTTTTCCATTCTGTATGCTGCCATTTTATTTACCATATCCTTTGCCTTACAGAAGCTTCTCAGTTTCAGGAGGTCCCATTTATGAATTCTTGCTCTCAGTGTCTGTGCTACTGGTATTACATTAAGGAAGTGGTCTCTTGTGCCAATTCATTCAAGGCTATTTCCCATTTTTCTCTTGTATGAGGTTAAGTGTAACTAAATTTTTGTTGAGGTCTTTAATCCACTTAAACTTAAGCTTTCTGCATGATGATAGATATTAATCTATTTGCATTCTTCTACATGCTAACATTTAGTTAAGTCAGCACCATTTGTTGATGCTTTTTTTTCGCCATTGTACAACTTTGGCTTCTTTGTCAAATATCAGGTGTTCATAGGTGTGTGGATTAATGTCAGGGTCTTCAATTTTATTCCATTGATCCACATGTTTCTTTTTATGCCAATATCAAGCTGTTTGTATTATTAGAGTTCAAGGTCTGTGAAGAATTGTGTTAGGATTTTGATGGGGATTGCATTGAATCTGTAGATTGCTTTTGGCAAGATGGACATTTTTACTATATTAATCCAACCTATTCAAGAGTGTGGGAGATAGTTTTATTTTCTGATATTGTCTTCAATTTCTTTCTTCAAAGACTTGAAGTTCTTATCATCAGGTCTTTCCCTTGTTTGGTTAGAGTTACCTCAAGATATTCTTTTTTACTTCTTACTATTGTAAAGGGTGATATTTCTCTGATTTTTTCCAGCCAATTTATCATTTGTTTATAGGAGGGCTACAGATTTTTTTAAATTAATCTTGTTACCTGCCACATTAATGAAGTTACTTATCAACTTAAGGTGTTTGCTGGTAGAATTTTTCAGGTGCTAATGTGTTTGCAAATAGCAAAAATTCAATTTCTTCATTTCCAGTTTGTATGCCATTGATCTTCTTTTGTTGCTTATTGCTTTCACTAGAACTCTGAGTGTTATATTGAATAGATATGGAGAGTGGACAGATTTGTCTTTTTTTTATTTCATTGGAATTGTTTTGAATTTTTCTTCATTTGGTTTGCTGTTGATTGTCAGCTTGTTGTAAATTGTCTTTATTATGTTTATGTATGTTTCTTGTATCCCTCATCTCTCCAAGACCTTTATCATGATGGGGTGTTGATTTTGTGGAAAGCTTTCTCAGTGCCAAATGATATGATCATGTGGGGCTCTTGTCTTTTTTTCTTTCTTTCTTCCTTTCTTTCTCTTTTTCTTTCTTTCTTACTTTCTTTCTTTCTTTAATTCTTTCAGTTTTTTTATTTGGTAGAATACATTGACAAATTTTATATGATGAGCCATCCCTGCCTTTCTGTAGTGAAGCCTTCTTGACCATGGCAAATGATTGGTTTTCTTGTTGTTGCTGTTTGTCTTCTGTTTGTTTTTTTTTTTTGTGTGTGTGTGTGCTTTTTTTTGATGTGTTCTTGGATTTGGTTTTCCAGTATTTTATTGAACATTTTTGCATTTTTGGTCTGTAATTCTCTTTCTTTGTTGAACCTTTATGTGGTTTGGGTATTAGGGCAACTCTACCCTCATAAAATTTGGGAATGTTCCTTCCATTTCTGTTATGTGGAACAATTTTAGAAATATTGATATTAGCTCTTCTTTATAATTTTATCAGAATTCTTCACTGAAACAATCTGGCCCTGGGCTTTTTTTGGTTGGGAGAGTTTAAATGACTGCTTCTATTTCCTTAGGGATTATAGGTTCATTTAAATTGTTTATCTGGTCTTGGCTTAATTTTGCTGTGTGGTACCTATCCGTAAAATTGTCCATTTTTTTAAAGAATTTCCAGTTTTATGGATTTCAGGTTTTTGAAGTATGACCTGATTATTCTTTGTATTTCCTTTGTGTCTATTATTATGTCCCCCTTCTCATTTCTAATTTTGTTGATTTGTATGTTCTCTCTCTGCCTTTTGATTAGTTTGGATAAGGGTTTGTCTATCTTGTTCATTTTCTCAAAGAACCAGCTCCTTGTCTCCTTGATTCTTTGTATTGTTTTCTTTGTTTCTATTTTGTTGATTTCAGCCCTCGTTGATTATTTTCTGTCTTCTTCTTGTCCTGAGTGAGTTTGCTTGCTTTTCTTCTAGAGCTTTTTAGCTGTGGTGTTAAGTCACTAGTATAAGATCTTTTCAAATTCTTCATGAAGGCGCTTAGTACAATGAATTTTTCTTTGCACTGCTTTCATAGTGTCCCATATGTTTGGGTATGTTGTGTGTTCAGTTTCATTGAATTCTAGGAAGCCTTTAACTTCTTTCTTCCATGACCCAGTTGTGGTTCAGTTGAGCGTTGTTCAATTTCTATGAGTCTGTAGGCTTTCTGCACTTGGTGCTGTTGTTATATTCTAATAAGTCCTGGTGATCCAATAACATGCAGGGGGTTATTCCAATTTTTTTGTATCTATTAATATTTGCTTTGTGACTATGTAAGTGGTCAGTTTTAGAGAAGGTCTCATGAGATGCTGAGAAGGCACTTTCTCTTTTGTTCATGTGTAATGTTCTAAAGATATCTATTAAGTCCATTTGAGTTATAACATCTATTAGTTCCCTTATTTCTCTGCTAAGGTTCTGTCTGGCAGAACTGTTCATTGGCTATCAGATACTGTAGCTGTTGCTTTTGGAAATGGTTATTTATTTCAATATAGTATGCAGTAAGTAAAAGATGGAAAAAATACCATTTTACAGCAAAGTCCCTACTCTAAATTGGCATGTGAGGCCTCCCAGTTTTGTTTTTTTGGTTGTGTGTATGTGTGTGTATGTGTGTGTGTGTGTGTGTGTGTGTGAGAGAGAGAGAGAGAGAGAGAGAGAGAGAGAACTTCAAATCGAAGAACAATGTATTTTCATTATGCTCATCCTTCCCTGACTCAACTCTAATTCTTCCTGTGTGCCCCCACATGGCCCCTTATAATTTATGTCCTCTTCTGTAATTACTTTCTCTCTCTCTCTCTCTCTCTCTCTCTCCCTCCCCCCTCTCTCTCTCGTAATTACAGATACAAAAACACACACACAGTCAAATACCCCTGCACACTTATACACATACACACATTTGACACACTCACATACTATCAAACACACACTCACACAGTCGAAGTCCAGGTACGTGTGTGTAGGACTGACCATTGGGGCATGGGCAATCTGTTAGGAGGAAAACAGATGCTCCTTCAGTCCACACAACTGTGAAGTGCTTGTAACTCTCCACCTAGGGCTAAGACCTTCTAAACCTTTCCCACATCTATGCTGAGATGTTTATTGATCTAGTCCAGGTCATATGTAGGTGATCATATTATTGTGGGCTCATGGGTGAAACATTCCTATCATGTCTAGGAGACACAGCACTGCTCTGGGTCCTTTGGCTGTTACATTTAATCTTTTCACCCCCACTTCTGCTTCATTCCCTGGGCTTGATTATAGGGGTTGTGTTATAGATGCCCCACTATCATTTTCATAGTTCTTTAGTACTCTGATTGCTGCTATCACTTAATGGTTCTACTGTGTGTGGGGTTCTTGGCCAGGTATTTCGATTACTATAGGCTGTACAAATCCTATGGCGACCTGGTGGTTCTGAAGCACTATGAGCAGTGGAAGATGGGCTATGGTGATGGCAGCGGCAATACCGTGTACAAGAACTTCATGTACTTTAACTACTATGGCACAAGTGACATGGCCAAGGTGGACCTTTCTTCCAACACCCTGGTGCTGCGACGTCCATGAATTTTGGAACATTTGTGCCTTCAATGTGTAGATGTAATAATTCTATATTTAAATATTTATGTAGATATCTTAACATAGCCACTAATAATTGGTGAGCTTCCTAAGAAAAACAATCAAATGCTAGCTCCAAGAAGCTGGGGTACTGAGAATCTTGTCAGAACCTGTTCCCTGTAGGAAATGCAGTGTTCACCATTTTCACTGCTACCAATTGGTCTAGAGATACCTGCCGTCTTTGGTGTTTTCACTTAAGACTGAGTAAAGATCTTGAAATCAATCAGTCAGAAAGTCTGTTATGATGGCATATGGACCAAGCCACTTGTAAATTATGTGAATAAAAAGTGTGCTGTATAGAGTAGCCTGTTCACCTCTATTTTGGGTTTTCTTAAAAAAAAAGCCTCCTTGGCCAGTCTGACCCTTTATTCCTAAAGAAGAAAAAAATTTATTACCTACTACATGGGCACATTCTCACATAAGTCTAGAATCCCACAGTCTGAGCCTCAGAGGAAAATGTGGCTTCCTTTTCACATGAGATCTTGACTTTTGTTTCATTTTCTTCCCTCCCTCCCTCCCTCCCTCCCTCCCTCCCTCCCTCCCTCC